TAATATAATATAATATAATATACATACACACACACACATATATATATATACATTTGGCTTTTACATCGGCATGTATGTGTTTGTGTGTGGGGCCACAATGAAATTCAATTGCATGCAGCATGCACGGTTTACACAGACGAACATGAACCGCTGCGGCCATTGTGACAAACATCTCCCCCGGGCGGCTCAATCCGGGGCTCGGTGCACAGACGGGAACTAAGCTTGTAAGCCGCCGACTCGCTCTGTAGCATGTTGACACCGCGCTTCAACTTCAACCAGCCGTTGCTACCCCAGTAGGTGCCCCAGCTATTACGAATAATCCAGTATTTCATTCCCGATGCCGTCGTACCCCATCCAGCTACCTCCATAGTGTGATCGATGTCATCTGTGGTGAATGTTTTGTTGGTAACGAAGACGCCCTCGTTTTCTGCTGCAACCTTGCTGTAGTTCATCATGAACATTGCATCTGTTGCGAAGGAGCAGGCAATAGGCCCACGAGCGTAGATTTCCTTCATCATTGCAACCTCCCCGGACAAGTTGCCGAATGAACTCACCCCATAGCCGGTCCACGTGTCGATTGGCCAGCACCCGTGCTTCGGCAGGCAGTTACGGCACTGGTCTGAGGGATTGCATTGCATGTTCCGGGCCTGATATGGCATGCACGTCTCGTCCGGAACATCGTTTTTCATCAGATATTGGTGGATCATCCAGGGGTCTCCACCATCACAACCAGGCGGGGGCACGCTGGTATTTTGGGGATCGGGCACACAGTTCATCAAGACCTGCCGTGCGAGCATCACATCAGGGAACTGTCCCTTGCGCATGATCTTGATTCGGTCATTCAGGGCAGCTGTCGTCCCATGTATCCAGCAAGATCCGCAGTACTGAGGAATGTGTTGGTTCACGTCACTGGTGACGAAGTTGCGCCCTCCCACGCTTCTCCAGTCAAAGGAAGCAGGAAGATCATCTTTCGAGACCAAGGCATCTGCCGTGACTAAGTTTTGGGGAGCAGTGCGAGGAAGCCACTTACGCGAGCTCCTGTACCCGTGATTCGCATCTGTTGTCAGGCAAAGAAGGCTGATGCACAGCCAGGAGAGTGATCCTGGCAAAATCTTCATGCGGCCCATGACCAAGTGGTTCAATCAGGAGCGCGAAGGCAAGTCGCGCTGACAAAATTTTGAGCCAAAGAAGCTGCAATGCATTTACCTGATTTCGTATGGCTGCACAAACACTGATGGGTGAAGGCGTGAAATCGTGCGAGGCCTCGTTTGCTCATGAGGACCTCCTCTTTCCCGTTCTGCAAGAGACTCTTGCAGGCGCTGTGTTCGCTCCTCTTTTGCTCTCAGGAGCGAAGCGCAGGGTGGGTTGCAATACAGACAAGCCAGGTGACCTGGTCCTCTGTCAGACTCAACTCGAGGACCTGCCGCGAGAACTTTGGAGCTTCTTGGACTGGAATGAGCGAGTGATACTCCAGCCTTCATTCCTGGAGCGACGAAAATAAAGACACGACGCTTGAGCAGAGGGGTCGGACATCACGCATGCGCACCCAAGCACGGCTTCGTCGGAGTGCATTCGTATTGCAAGCCTTCCGCAAAGAGAATTCCCTCAATCGCAACTCCCGCCAAGCTTTCTTCGTTCTTTGTTGAAGGAATGTTGGTCTCTTTGGACCAGCCATAATCCGGGCCTTAGGGCTCCCGTCTAGGAAACGATAAAACACCCATGCTGCTCTGACAGGCAGAAGATCTCCATCTGCTTCGACTTCTCCTTGGCGAACTAATCAAGTGCACACATGGGCATTGCCCATCTGTCAGCACTCGGCTGGCGGGATCACTGCTTTGCCGCGAACAAGATGCAGTTTCATGCGAAGAAGTACCTGCGCAATTTAACTAGGAGTCCAGCAGGCGGACACAAAGAAGTGGTGGGTCCCACAGATCTTGTGCAACACCTCTTGCACGGCAGAGCAGGGCGCAAGCTGTCCCTTACGCGATCGAGATCCAGTTGTCCTTCAGGGTTGTTTCGCTATGAGCCCAGGGTAGACGACAGAAACTTGTCTTCACGGGCCTTGCTCTGGCAAAGGGGGAGGGGCTTGGCCACCGAGGTGCACTTTCATGTCCTGTCTGTCAAGGCTGTTGTCAATGGAACACCCACATCGCAGGTCCTCGTAGAGCTCAGCAAGGATCGGCTGTCTGTGAAGCTCAACGAAGGCCTCCTGCAGTAGCACCAGAAGGGGTCGATTGCAAGTCTGCAACAATACCAAGTTTCTGACACGGGTGAGCATATTCAGCTTGGCGGTGTCGCAGGCGTGTGTCCAAAACGAGTCATGTACCTGAGCTTTCAGAAGATGCACCAGCCGAGGTCCAATGCGATGCTCCAAGGCGACCACTGCCGCGAACGTCATGCCCTCGCGCTGGCAGCTCTCTGCAACCATCATCATGTGCGAGGCCTCTGTTTGGAAGCGAGTGCCAAAGCAGGGAACACGAGTGAACCAAGCCCTGTGCATCAAGTGAATGGATGAAGTTCGGTGGGTAGCCCATTCTCTGCCGCATCTGGAACGGGGCATGGCCATGCGCGGAGCAACGTGTGACTACCTAGCCTGCTATCAACGGCACTTCGGCTGAAGAGGGCCTGGTTGATTGTTGGTGCATCGCCAGTTTTCAACGTAACCTGCCAACGGAGCATGGTCCCCTCGCAAGAACTGAAGAGAAACATGCCAGAACGGCTGTCTGGCGCTTGCTGCGAACCACCGCTTTCTGTGCATTCCGGTAAGGCTGCACGCAGTTCAGGCCGACGGGTGAGATCCAAGCGTTTGGAGCCTGTCCGAACATTGGCCGCTGTTCCTCGTAAGTGCTGACAATGAAAGCATGCCCACGCCTGCAACTTGGAGAAAATCTTTGTGATCTGGTTCAACCAGTTTTGGATTTTCATCGCCTGCGCGAAGACGTCATCAATGGAAGCCAAAACCAACCTGGCAAACTCCGGCACTGGACAAGTACTGACAGCTCGTGCTATGCTGGGGGCTTCCCCAGAACACCCTCAACACAGGCAGACCCTTCACTGAGTCAATCCCCGCGTCTAACTCCTATGACCGATACTCCTCCAAGCCAAATGCACACCGATAGTGCGCTTGTCGTTCGGAAGCCGAGTCTCGAGGGGCAGGTAACGCGGATCGTCGATGAAACCGGGTAGACTGTGACGTACTGTACACTCTCTGGACTTGATTCTTCAGTTCTTGAGACTTGCACCTGGGTCTTCAGTGTCTCAGATGGATCAACGCCACAGACAGCTCGTGGTTAACATCAGCCAACTACTTCCAGAGAACTCGAGCACAGGGCATCGACTGCTTCGAGCGGGGTGCGCAGAAGATTACATGCAGTTCTTGGTTGAAGATCCTACTCCTACAGACAAACACGTCAACACTGACAGGCCAAGCCCACGGGGCCTCGACAGGTACTTTGCCAGCGCCAGGATTTCGTCGGGGTCTACCTGGCAAAGAAAGAGCCACCGCGATCAAGGCGACTGCAACCACCGCATCGCGCCTTTTCGCCCACCATGTCCTCGATCTGGCCCTGGACTTGCTTGCGAGCTCCGACCTGGCTGCTGCACATGTCCGATGTTGCGGTGAGGTTGGCAGATGGTCTCATTGTACAGCTGCAGATTTCCGTTTTGCCATCAGCGCGCTGGCTTGGATGACACGATCTGGCTTCGTGCACCCTCGCACGGAAGATGGAGCGTGGTGGAAGACGAAGGTTGACCGAAGGATCACTGAGGCCGCAAGTCTGCTCTTTCGCTCACTTCCCATGCGCTTCAATCAACCCTTCATTGATGAACTCCGTCAATCGCTTAACGGAAGGATAGTCGAACATGAGCGTATTCGGCATGGTTAAGCCAACAAAATCCTTCTGAATTGCATTTCCAAATTCCACTGCAGCCAGGCTGTCTAGACCTGCATCCATCAGCGGCTCATCGTTATCCAAGGACTCAACTCCGATGAGAGACAAAGCAGTGTCTTTGACAACTTCTTCAATCTCCGCCAGCGTGGGACCTTCACAAAAAAGGAATCTCGGCTCCCAAACCCGTAGAAAAACCCGAGAGAAAAAGTAGCCTAGGACTTAGGACTATTGCCGGCCCACGCCTTTGTAAGGTGCCACCTCTGCGGCCTGGGAGGCTGCTGGGCCTCCTCCTCCTGGCGCTGCCTGTGGAATGGCAGGGACCATCTGCACAGGCATCGCCTGCTGGTTGAAGGACATTGGCTTGCGCCGGGCACCACCAGGCTTCGGTCGGAACTTTTTGACCATCCGCGTCCTCCTCTGTCCTCCTCCTCCTCCTGCTGCAGCGCTCTGCGCCCGCTGGGCCTCGCTCTTGTCGTGTGCTTCACGCATGCTAGCATCGATGAAGCCCGACAGCTGTTTGACGGAAGGGAAATCGAACATCAGAGTCGATGGTAAGGCCACACCAGAGAACTCTTTAGCTAGAGTGTTGCCAAATTCCACAGCAGCTAAGCTGTCAAGGCCTGCATCCATAAGCGGTTCGTCTGCATCGAGAGTCTCAACACCTATCAAACCTAGTGCCACATCGCTGACAGTAGCCACAATTTCGCTTGGATTGGGCCCGCTGTAAGCTTGAATCTCCACAGGTCCACCACCGCCACCACCTTCCTCGATCACCTCTTCTTCCCAATATTCCTCCATTTCGTCATCACCCTCAGCAGCATAGTAGCGCGGTCCGCCGGTATCTGTCGGTCTCACACCGATTGTCTTCGGCGTGAGTCGCTTCAGGATTGCTTGTGCCGCAGCTTCCCCAGATTCGTCTCTCTGCGTCGTGAACAGCTGCAGAGCCTCGTTTGCCAGCTGCTTTGCCTGAGAACAGACCCGCTTAAGACAAAGCCTCACTCAAGCCGGCCCCGGCCCTGCCTCGGGATGAGACTTGGCACCGTTGAACTCGGCCAGTTGTGATTTCACAAGGATGAAGTGCGCTTCTGCAGAGGCGTCGGCAACGGTCCTTAGGCACAAGTCTGTTGATCTAGATCACTTGAAAAGCGACATAAAGTGAGATAAAGTGAGGCAACATTCTGACAGGCATCTGTGCCACCGGAAGCCCCTCTTCAATGGACTTTGCCGCTGCATCTGCTTCTAAGCACATCATCTGAGCTGTGGCAAGAGACAACCTCGGAGAATGCAGACCATGCGGCAAATGAAAGGAGCAAAAGCCGGGGACACACCTGACCATGGAAGAAGTGAGCAAAAGCCAGGTGGCAGTGCTCGCGACAGCAGCTGCTCGTCCTGCCCAGACAGTCAGATCGTTTTGACCCACTGCAAGAGATGCAATCGCAAGTGATGATAGCAAAAAAGAACGAAAGCACCGCGTCACACGTGTCACAGTAGATATCTTGTTCCACCGGACACCGCCGGACACCTGCTGCCGTAGGAAGTGCACTGAACCCCTGGAGTGTCCTCTTGCGGTCGCGACAGTTGAAGAGCATCCTTGGCAGCTTGAAGAGCCCGTTCGAAAGCTGCTTTGGCTGGTCTCTCCTGGTTGTCGTCCTTGCACGGGTACACCACACTGCACCGGACAGCGACGTTGTTAGACTGCTCTGTTTTTGGGAGCCTGTTTGGTAGGCCCTTTGCAAGATCCCTTCTGAACTGCTTCTCCGGTTGAGAGGAGCGCTCAAGGATTCAATCGAAGAAGAGAGCAACTGGGGAGGCAAAAGGAGCGAAGGCTATTTCAGACCACCCGGCGGTCTCACATTCTGCTTGAACAAATGACGAAAACCACGGCCGAAGGAAGCAAATCAAGGCAATGGCCGCGGACGGAGTGGTGCCCAACAACGAGAGATTACGTAGGAAACACTACCAGCCAAAGCCTGAAAATGGTAGGCCGAGCAAACAGCAAGCCCACAGATCTGCAGGATAAACGACGGACTCGACCCGAGAACAGCCAAGCTCAAGTGCACAAGCGATAGGCGCCTGAAATCTGTTTGAGAGTGCTCCCGGGAATACTTTTCACAGCAGAGGACTGGCCGGTTGCTTGGAACCGGTGGTTTTCGCGTCCAAAACTTGTGGAGGTCGGCTTTTGTTCCTACTGCTTTTGGAGCATCCGCAGACCACTCCGGGGTCGAAAAGCGATATCTATTTTCGATGAGGAGAGGCACAGGCTTCCCTGATCTAAGTCGTTTTCCTGGACCACCTGGGTTTCTGCACTACCTTTTGCCAGAGGGCACGATCTTGACAGACAGCAAAAATTCAAGCGAGTGTTGTCATGTCCTCGTCGTCTCCCTGAAACCAATCGTTTCTGGTGCCAGTCTCATCAGCCTCGAACGAACTCGTTGGCAAGCTTGCACAGAATCTTCCGACTCACCCCGAACATACATGCATGAGCATCCGTTTCTGCACGTCCACTTGTCATGGCGGTAGTGATCTTTTGAGAGCCGCACAGATTCCGGCACCTTTCCTTCACTTCGGGCCTCCCGCAACAGTCTGGAAAAACAGCCGAAACGTGCAAGATGGACTTAGGACTTAGGACATGCAAGTGGAAAAAAAGGCGGGGCTGCCTTTTCTTCCTTTGCCTTTGCTCGAAGATCTAACTCCTGCTTCTCTTCGTCTGACGCAGCTGACAGGAGGGTCTGCGCCAGTTGCACACATGCCCATGCTTCACTTTTCCGATCACCCATCTCTCGCTGCAGTTCCCGACACCTCAGGGCATCACAGCAGTGCGGTGTTGCATCTTCGCAAGGTCTCTATGCTCCAAAAACACTGACGGGTGCCTTCTAGCGGCTGCAATGGCGCGGGGAAAGTCATTCAGATGAAGGCGCACTTCTGCCTCACAGGACGCTCAGGCTGTCATCGGCCCAATCTATTGCAGCCAACACAGAGTGCCACTGCCTGCATTCGCAGGGCATCTGCCTCACCTTCGCGGTCGCCCACGGAATTGAAGATTCGCTGCGACTCTACGGTCACTGCGGCACCTTGAGACTCAGAAAAGAGTAGAGCAGAGTTCAGCAAGCGCAACCAGCAAGCGCAGCAAAAGCGTGGCCTCGCTTGAGCTCGCCTCGGGCACAGTAGGCCGAGCAGAGCTGCAGCAGGGCAGAGGCCTGAAAGCCAGGCAAAGCACAAAACAACCTCCTCTCTCTCTCTCTGACATCAGAGGCGAGCAAAGGCAGCTAGCTGCCTTGCCTCTCCTTTCTTGGTTTGTGTCTTCCTGGACAAGTCCCGCGATCTCATCGCCGCTTTCAATCCAAGACGGTGTTCCTTTTTGAGCAGGGCCAGCTCGGACTGAAGCAGGTAAGCTGCAGCCAGGGACTTCCGGTCCTGCAGGGTAGGCTCAAACGTCTCGTGGGCCGAGTCACGAGAGCCGCTGCGATTCTTCCAACACTCAGGTCCTTCTGCTCGCTAGCAACTGCAATGGTTTGATCGACTATCTTCTCTGCATTCTCCACATCTTCTGCCCTCAGGTAGATCTTGGCCAGTGTCTGCAGCAAGTCTATCTCCCAGCATTTCAAGAGCCTGGAAGATGGTCGACTTTGGACTTTGCGCAGCGTCTCCTCAGCCACGTCCGCAGCTTGCCGCAATCGCCCAGAGTTCACGTACACAGAGACAATGGAGGACTGCGCCACGATCTCACTCTCGAAATCTCTGTTCCGTCGAAATGTCTCCAGTCGCTCTTGAGACAGCTTCAGGGCTTCATCAGTCTTTCCCATGGTAAGGTATGCATTTGAGGCATGGATGAGCGCTGCTGCAGATCTGGCAGGAACGGGGTCCACTTGGGCTTGCCGCTGGGCTTCCCTCTGCATCTTTTGCTCCAGGGCAGCTTGGGCGGCTTCAAGGGCCTGACAAAAATGCCAACTGCCGTGCGCTGTGACGTGCCACAAAGACTTGACTTAACTGCATACTAGGAAGTCTTGGGTAGGGTTGCTTTTCGTCACCTGCCTCCTCCGGCCTGTGACGCACCAGCTCCCACTCACTCACACACTCCTGCTGGAATGCCTGCGACACGACCGCGCGACATCGTGCTCTGCTGCCCTTACCAACAAAGACCCTTCCAGGTAGTATCCCTGAGACCCAGCCTCCAGGCGAGTGTAGCCAAGGTCACGCCAGTACGACACCAGTTCTCTAGATCTGGCAACGGCCTCATCAATGTTGTTCTGAAAGGAAAGGGCGACCTGGCACAGTCAACGCCTGGACCAGAAACTGAATAGTACATGCCTGAGCATGCGTTCCGCTCTTAGCTTGCCTTCCACAAAGGGGTGACATGTAAAGATAGCTTAGCCGTCAGCACATGGGGAAGGTGGGGGAGGCGGCTGCATTTCTTCTTCACCCCCTTTCGCACCCTTTGAGACCAAAGACGTGTGAAGACTCTTCTGCGACCCTGCTAGATGCGATGAGCTGCAACAGAAAATCAACACAACTTCACAACAAGCCATTAATCTAGTGCTGCCTCAGGCGCCTCCTGCGACGTTAGTGGGTATCAAGTACACTGGTAAAGACAGGGCTACCCAAGGGTAGAGTAGGATGTAGCGTTTTTTCCAGCTCCCACTACTATGATGCAAAAACGCAGATTCTGAGATTAATCGCTCAAGCGACGGCGGTGGTGTGCATGGCCTTTCCTTCACCTGAGAGACAACAATGGTCTCTTCCACATATGCTGCAGAAAGCCAGCCATTGCTTGTGAAGGCCCCGCCTACTCTGTCACCAACCTCTCGAAAAACAACTTGCGCTTGCGCCGCTGCTTCCAGAGCTTTCGTCAACTCTTCAGGCACTTCGCTTTTCGTGCCTGTGCGAGCGGGATGGTGCTCGTCCGCCATCGTGCTCCAAGGGTAGACACTTGCCCCTTGCCTTTTTGGACATGGGTGTGAGCTAGTGCAATCAATGCCCATCCCTGCCATAGGGCGACACAGCTGCTGTGCTTTCTCTGACTGCCATGCGTCTCTGCTCTGCCCATGCGCTCCCCCACCTCGAGACGCTGTTCCCCCAGCTCTCTGAAGGCCGTCACAGCCTCCAGAGCTGCCTCCAGCGCCTCTTCTCGCCTCTTGCTGCCACAACGTGAATTGGCAATCTCCGCGAAGGCCAAACGCAGAACAGCCTCACATGCTAGGAAGGACACCAAGAAAGCTCAAATGAAACTGACATCCCATCTGACTTCGCAGACGATGCACTCGCTGCCGCTGGCTGCAACCATCTCGAGAAAGCTCTTGTGCCAACAGACCAAGGCCAGCTTTGCGGTCGCCTCTGGCTGAACCTCAACCCACATCTTCTAACATGCATTCTCGTCGGGCAATGAGGGACTTTTCCCGTTCACGACCGTGTCACCCGATTGTCGACAAACACTTCGAGATCGAAGTGGAAAGCACGACTCGACTAGAAGAACTTGAGCGCCGCAGTATCTGCAAGTGGTTCTGACTACAGCTGCACTAGGCCACGGACAAGCCAGGGCCAGCATCCGGACAGCATCTGCAGGACCTCAACAGCTTACCCAGCTTCCACTAAGACTTGAGACAATTCTGTCGAAAGCGCCTGGTGAATCCTGGGAATTTTCTCGGAGGATGCTTAATGCCTTCTGCGCCTTCTGCTCTGCCAGCTGGCTTTCCTGCATACAGTACAAGACCAACGACGTTATTACCAGTTACTTTCTGCTTATACAGAGTTTGCACCTCTTCATCTATGTGCCACTCCGCATCCCGCAGAAGCCCGGCGGCATCAGCTGACATGGCGAGAAGGAGGGCCAAATGTCGTCAGTATCCTGGGATTTGTGAGCTGACTGGTGGAGCAGCTCCTGTTCTCGACATACAAATCTCTGAGTCGGTTTCCGGACATTGTCCAGGCTACAGCCATCCGACACTTGTTAGCATGTCAACCCCCACAGCCTTGAGCACAAGTCGATCACGCGAAATCCTTGTTCCGAAAGGTGCTTCATGCTTGTCCTTGTCAGCAAGCGGCAAGCTCGGGGATTCGTTTGGCTGTGCATGGACATCGGTACGGGGGACAATTTCGAAGGCCCTCATGCATGAAGCTATCGTGCCAGTGTGTTCTGCACGCAAGCCTTTGGGCTTCAACATGCAGCTGACATGCTCGCCTGTCACCATGGAGCGATGCCAAGTCTGCACTGTGCGAGCCCAATCCCATGTAAGCCCATGTTCTTGTGTCTCGGAACCCAACCCCTGAACTCTTCGGTATCCATAAGGCAAAAATTATTTCGGTCCCGGCTTCTAAGGGTCTAAGGGTCTAAGGGTCCCCATCAGTTTGTTCCTTCCCGGGGGCTGCTCCTCCTTGCCCATCCTAAGCCAGTTCCCAATTCCCGACTCAGACTGACAGTCACAGGCTCTCCATCCACAGACGACATCGTCAAACCCAAGCAGCAAACCTTTCAGTAGTAGGGCGGCCCCCAAGCAGCGCAACCGAGACCAGGTAAGGTGGAGGCATGGAAGCTCGATCAGAAAACCCGAAACAAGCGAACAAAAACGGAAACGGGCGGAGCTTGATGTCAAAGCTACTAAGTATGGCAACCGACGGCGACAATTACACGAAGCTAACAGGTGCTGAACAAGCACCTGATCGGCTCGTCTGAGCTGAGGCAGCAGAAGCGGCACCAGCAGCAGCAGCAGGACAGCTCCAAACTGCTCTCTCCCTGAACTAGCGCCATATTATATCCCTGCGTCGTTAAGCATGCCCGGGCGCACAGCCGTGACACCGTAGCAGATGGTCATGATGGTCTGCTTCACAACCTGTGCAACCCACTGTCAGCAGGTACCAGTGATCAAGGTCCTTCCCGCCTTGCGCTGCAGTATGCCCAGCTCCAGAAGCCTTCGAGCAAGGTGTCCTTGGTCCTGGCTCGGAGGACGGCCTTCGGGGCTTTCCTGCAGCTGAGGTTGCACAAACCAAACAAGTCCAGAAGAATTGCAGACTGAGGGCCAAGCTGTTTGGACATGGACGGGCAATGCAGCATCGGCGTTGACCTTGCAGAATTTGCAATGCAGGCTGATGCATTGGAGAAGGCAGAGTAGTCGGGAGTACACCGGGCTTCCACGGCGCAGTCGTTAATGAGCACCAGACCTTGTCTATGACAATCTTCAACACAACTGTGTAGACGTCCTGCGGCTTGTCGTTAGGCAGCAAGTTCACCGCCTCAGTTGCCACACAGCCATTAAAGCTATCTAGCGTCCTCCCGAACTGATGTGAAGCATTGTGCCTAGTTGGCTTGCGATCTCCACTAACCAGGGTTTATATAAGTTCCAGCTGCGCATTGGCTGCCCCGCATCCCAGCCGGCCTCCCCACCTGCGAGATCACGGCCCAAAGCCGCATAGTGCCTGGGGCGATCTGAAGCATCGCACAGCTCATTGCAACAGTGCCAGTCACAGCTGGCAAATGAGGATGGCCACATCCGCTGCCCGGTAAAGTTTGGCCATGTCCTCTCTGAGACATCTGCTGAAGGCCGTTGCAGGACCCGTCGACGTGCACTGGCAGATGGCTTCTGAACTCCTGGCTGCTTACGAGTGTTTGCTTCGACAGCAGAGTGCCTCGGACGCCTCTTCAAGCCCTGGCCGACTGTAGACTTCTGCGAGCTCCAAGTAGCGAGCCAGAACCTGCCACGGCCTCAAATTTCGTGACCCCAAGGTCGACAAGTCGCGTCTGCGAAGAATAGCCTTGGACCACGACCCATCATCTGCATCAGCCCAGTGCTCTATGCTTTCTGGGCTGAAGGGATCTTTAGCAACCTGGCTGAAGGATCCACTGGAAGCTTGCACGACTCCTGTACATTCTAGCAGCTAGCAAAAACCGGCCTGCAATATGATGTCCTTGCGGTCGTCCACCCATCGCACTCGATCTTCGAGCGAGATCTTGTTCTTGCCATGCAGGTTGGCTACGCTTACCTTCGACCAGAAAAGACCTTCACTTCCCAAAGGCTTGGACTCCGAGAACATCAGCAATGCACGGCTGACATCGTCCCCCATGTGATTCAGGTGTGGCCTCAGTTCCGGATCGAACTTCCGCACCCGTGCCAGAAGAACTATCGATGGCTGTCAACTGAGCGGGAAACGGCAGAGGATAGCAACGCCCTCGAAAGTCCACGTTGTGTGGAAAGTAGAGCTTCTCCGCATTGACGAAATCTTCTGCACTTCGCAGCTTCAACTCGAACGTCGGTCTCTCCTTCGATACAAGGGCTTCGGAAGAGTGCACCCGGTCCACGAGCCAACGGGCTGCCTCTCCATTTTCACTACAATACTGGAAACTTCCAGGAGTTTCTGCAGCTGGCAAGCTTGCACATCAGTAGTCGGGTAGAACTTCAGAAGTTCTCAGTTTTCATACTACGACAGCACACGGCGTGTGAGTCTGGAAAGTCTCTCAAGATACAGTAACAGAATGCTTCCACAGCTCTACAACCACGACCAAGCGCAAGATTTACAGGATGTGTTCAAACCGGAATGTTCAACGGGGCTCCGATCGGAGTTCGCGGCAGCGCCTTTCGGCATTGAGACGCCTGTCACTGCCAGACATCTGAGGTAAACATCCCTAAGTGAAGTCGCAAGTGTCTGCCTGAGGCGCAGCACCTGATAGTCCGGATCGCTTTCATCTGGAACATCTGGGACCTGAGGCGGCCATGTCTTTGCAATCCTGGAGCCCGCTATGTCAATTCCAGTTGAATGCAACGTCCACACTTCTTGAAGTAGGCACCGCCCGTGAAGCAGAAGCAGCTCTCCGGTTAGTTGTTAGGTCTGGGCACGTGGAGTGTACCAGGATCGGCTCAGCTTCAAGCTTACTTCGGTGGACGTCCCAGGCTGTATCCCACCTACCCCATAGGAACAAACTGACTGTGGCCCACCCATTTCACTTCGCTGGAGCTCCACATGCAGCATTGGAGAGGGCACTCAACACTCCCGAAACGATCAGACTTCCGGCCGGTGTTCCTTCAGGCTAGTTTCGATCTTCGGATCGAATTTGGTCGATTTTTGGCTAGGATATATGATTGATTTGTGCAGGCCTATAGTTGCACTCTTGCATGCACGGGAGGTGACCTTCATTTTCTACTCTGCCGGTGCTTTCGGTGGACTTTGCCAAAGGTGAGTTGGAAGCCAACCCTGGCGAAGTCCTTCAAACTGCCACTTGGAAAGAGACCGCACCGGGGATTTCTTACGAGGGCTAGCCTTCTGTGGCAAGGGGTCGGTTCCAGAATCTGAAATCTGCTTGGTGTAAACCGCATCGCTAAAACATAAAACCCAAAGAAACGATGTGCAGCAAACCCTGAAAAATCCGTCACCCTCAAGCCCTAAGCCCTGAAATGAACAAGAAATAAATACAGGGCGGCAACCCGTTTTTCCAAGAACAAACGATGGGCAGCAAACCCCAAACCCGAAAGAAACAATGCGCAGCAACACCTAAACCCTAAAGACTTGATGTGTAAGACATGCGAAAGAAACTGGGGCCCTAAAAACCCGTGAACGTGGTTATGGGAAGCAAGCGCCGAACGTCAAACAATGATGGTACGTTTTGCTCCCAAAACCTAAAGCAACCAACGTTCGGTGACCCTACACCCAACTATCAACACCTCAACCTGTGCACCGAACCCTTTGCCCTACAGCGACGCGAAGTAACAAAGTAGAGCAGGGTGATAAAAGACGGTGAGCCTTGTAATCCTCGACTTGGTGTCTTGGCATCAAGGCTTCTCGACTCATTTTGCTTGACTATCGTGTTGCTTTGTTGAACGTTGGCTACCGATCGCCTCTGCTCCATACCGTTACACCTTTTCCAGCGTTAGGAAATGAAAAAGTGCTTCTTTTCGTTTTGGGCTTTGCCAAGCTACTGGTGGCTTAAAGCTTCCTTCCCCCATCTTCCCCGAGAATTCAGCTTTGCTGCCCATCGTTCCCAGGGCTATTTTAAAGACTAGGAGAGGGATTAATACCACACAGTATACCATTCAGTTTCCATGTTTACGGCTTGCTACCCAAATTCTATTGGGCTGGTTTTTGTTCGTGGGAGCTCGCTGTTCTGCAGGATTTTTCCCGTCCAAATCCCTGCGTTTCGACTCGAGTGAAAGCAGAACTAGGGCTCTGGCTGGTGGGTCTTCGTTGGGAGGGATCCCCCCAATGGCCAAGCCGCGCTGCCGGGCCTCCCTGATCAAGTCCAGTATGCGTCCATTGATTCTCCAAGGCACCCTTCCAAGGAAGTCCTGGAAAGTGTGTCTCTCCATGGACATTTGCAGAGTTGTTTACAGTGTGCCACTGAATGCGCAGAGAAGTCCATAACTCCAGCGCTGCGTGACGCACTGTAGGATCTGAGCTGCGTCATCTGCTCGGAGGTCGTTCTCACGAAACCGGACTTGTGTAGGATGTAGGGACCTGGGTGGATCTGGAAAGCTGAGACATCAACAAAGGAAAGTGATTTGCACAGGCAGCGAACCTTGAGGAGAGTCTCCACACGGCTGCCAAGGCAAGGGAGGAATTACCATTGGCTGCATCTTCGGCTTGATGAAATGTAGCATGTCACCCTGCCCAGTTCGGTACATTACATAACCAGACCTAATTGAAAGATCACAAATCGTCCTCCGACTCCATTCGCGCCCGGGCCAGTGGATGTAGCGACAGATATCCCACGACCTGGGTCAGTAGATTTTGAGCAACATCCAATCGACCCCAAGCTCATGCCATCTACGGCTTGAGTGTGCAGCTTTGGTGCGTGTTTCCCGTCGCTTGCCATATACCAAGGCCTTGCCACACAAATGCGACTAGCACTGCATTCACGCTGCCATGCTAGAGGGCCTTCTCAAGCTCAAGCTCCTCCCTGCGCATACACGAGCAAGCAACGGAGGCTTCAACTGAAAATCGCCTTCCACTGCTGTACTTCAAAACGGCGGGACATCACTTCCGTGGGAGCCTTGGCGGTACACCGTCTGCCAGCTGCCTCAGAGTCTGCAGACTTCTGCTGCTCTACGTTCTCAACGTGCCATCTACTGCTAGAAGCCGTAGGGTTGCCTTGCGACACAATGTCATGACACACAACATGCTTCGACAGGGCAGTTGCACTATCGTGGAAGCAGCCACCAGACTGCTCTCTGAATATGCACACTTCCGTTCTGACGGGCTAGAATGTGGAGACACAGGGTGCCTGCCGGAAAAGATTAGTCAGATGACCCTAATAAAATCCCTAGCGAGATTGGGCGCAAGCACTGCAGGTCACGGCTAGGGGCGAAGCGCAAGCACATGACTTGTCGCAAGATGTCTCCTCATGAATCTTGGCTGCTGGCCCATCAGAAACGACCTGAATCCGTGCCGGAAGCTTGTGCTGAGGAAACTGTCCCAAGGGCACACTGGCCTTGCTGTCGATGTGCATACCGGGCACACGCAGTGCCGAGCAATCGATCAGTAAGTCCACCAACGCTGCACCAATGGGCACCGACTGAGTACGGTTGCGGAATGCCTAGCATCAGCGGCAATCTGCAAAATAAAAAAGTCTCATGGCACGGTCTTCAGGCCAGGCCTGTCTAAGCCTGCGCATTTCCAACAGCTCCGGTTTCATGGCTCCTGATGGTGGCAGGCTTGTTAATGCTAGAAGACAACAGGTTCAGATGCTCGTAAGGCTCCTTCAGACTTGGTGCCGTGGCCACTTTCATGGGCGGCGATGCGCTGCCACATTAGCTCGTCTTCGACAGCCTCACAACCAAGAGCTTTCACGTCCATCGTGCCCCGGCGAAACTACCAACCAAGGAAGGCAGGGATGGCTTCGAGGGAAAGTAGTTGAAGCTGGGGACATAAGCAGTGGCAACAGGACTGGCGACAAGAAGTCCTAACACAACAACAGCCCGAAATTGTGAGGTGAGGGAGCTTACCGAATCACCTGCCAAGACCGCAAGGGGAGATGCGATGCAGCTAGCCCCACCAAAATCCAAACTCATGCCATCACGTTGTTTGGTGGCTAGCACGCAGTGCATCTTGTAGTCGGGTCCCCACAACACCACGTATTGACAGGCCGGACGAGACGACGAAAGCCGCAACCAGGGAGTGTGCGAATTCAATTAAAGGCTGAAGAGCTATTCTGGCTGATGGGCTCGGCCGGTGGTGAAGGGAAGCTGCGGCTTGGCTCAGCTAGCGATTCCCGGCTTGCAAACACTAGCCCCGGTTCTGCTTACCTGCCGTGGGTTTCGAATGATACAAACAGCACGTCAGCATCGCCATGGGCTTCCCACAAAGCATGGCGACATCATGAAGACTATCACTAACAACATCAGCATACCGACATCAGCACCATCATCGACAGCAGCACCACAAGTAACGCATCCGCCGCCAGCATCTCCAGCCGTAGTAGCATCATGAAACCCCACGAGTACGAGCAGTCCGCAACAGCAAAAGGACCCCCGACAGCATCCGTCCCCGCAGCAGAATATGAAAACATCGAACAACGGCAGTGGGACGGGCGACCCGGGCAGCAGATGCAACCGGGCAAGCACGGGCCGACTAACAACTCCCTGGACAAGCGGAGGGCCTCTCCGACTCTCGTAGCCGCTGTGGCAAAAGGAACTTCTCCAAATCGATTATGGCGGGCGTTTTCCTGCATCTCATCCTTGTTCCGAAAGCACGGCAACATGAGCAAGTTCAAGACGTTCTGACAGGTGATGATGGCCAGAAGCTCTGGCTCCAGTCCCAACGTGGTCAGAGCGAGGAAGGTCTTTGATCCTGCTCCCTTCCGCTGCACAGCTTCTCCGTCTGAGAGGACGGTGGTCATAGCATTGACCCAAGGAAGCCATAGGCGCTTTGTGCCTCCGGTCAATGCTCCACGTCCCGCACCTGCATGAATCTTCTGTTCTTCGAGAAATTCTCGAAGAGCTGATGTTTCCGCTATATGCTCCTTGGGAACGTGGGCTGCTCAGATACACATGCATGCATAAACGTACACACACATATACATACATACATACATACATACATACATACATACATACATACATACATACATACATACATACATATAGTATATATAATATATATATATATGTGTACATGTACATAAGCAAGCATATATATATATACAATACAAACATAAACCTGTAGGTTCAAAAGCGTCCAAGATGCGATTGCAAACTCCCGACGCCTCCGCGAAACTTCATGATGAACACAAGCTTCGGCCTTCAAGCGCCGTATCTGCGAACAAGAACAAAAACTGGCCATTTCTTTGAAGACCTGTACGCTCTTGTAGACACAACCGGACTCGGGGAAATTTGACGCAGGCGCCTGAGCCTCTGCAGCGAGGATGGGCATACGGCCACGGCCGTAGAGCTGTTTCCGGATCTCGTCCACTGTTCGGGACCCTTTCTCGAAGATCGAGGGATTTTCCAGAAACTGCTGCAGCCTCTCCAGAGGTAGATCCTCCATCAGGATACCATGGCCGGCCAACAGGTGCTCATCAAAGTCTTCTATGACCTGCAAATGTAACTCTGAAGAAAGCCTAAAAGCACTCTTCGACACGTCCCTGCCTGGATGTCGGTACCGTCTAGGTATTCGCCAATCTTTTCTTGCAGCCGTTCAGCCTCACAGGCATCATCACCATATGCTGCGGTATACGAAAAAGTCAAAGTGCAAAGCCCTCCCTACACTTAATGGGGGCAAGGACATCCTCAACTTGGCCTGCAAAATGCCGACTCTTGCAAGCTGTTGATGGACATCTTCCAAAGCGTGACGCGCTCTTTCCTCCCGCTGTCTCTCTCGAAGCGCGGCCTCCGGATGCAGACGGAACGGTCTTGACACGGGCCTTGCTGATTCTGAGAAGGCCTGAAGCTTGACAAACTGAAACGCAGGCCCTTCCAAGGTGTGAAGCGGCATCGGCAACCTGAACAGAGCCCAAAGGCGCACAGCAGTGCAACTAGATACACATGGAATACAATGACGTGGGATGCCGAACATACATGCACACACATGCATTCGAAGGGCTCAACAATGCCCTGTTGGGTCCGCACCTTTCAAAATTGCAAATCGCGTGGCTTCTAAATTGCCTAGAGCCCAGTCTGAAAGCCTCTCGTCTTTTCGATTCGCACAACGCATAACCGTTTGAGAGTAGCGGGTCGCACTGCGAGGGCAGGACAGAACCACAAGATGTTATTTCGTTGCAAGCATCAGCATCAGGTAGGACTCGCTTCTTCGGCTTGTTCAGAACCCACCGTGCCGATATACCTGCCTGATCAGCCTCACACAAATACCAACATTGTCCATCGGCTATTGGAAATCAAACCCCGAATCGACAATGTCAACAAGCGGATGGCAAATCACGAAATCAGGAATCGGACCCTGACAGGTAGGCGGACCGCCAACGATTGAATCTGCTAACCTTCCGCACACCTCTTGTGAACAAATCTGGTTGAGCCCCAAATTCTTCCGTGCCTACCAATATCAATATCAGTTTCACATAAACCGCGAATCCGACTGGTCACCCGTGAGGGCTGCATTTTTGAGCCACGCCGTACTGACGATTTGGTTGCGGGCTGGTTGGATCTGATTTAGGGGGTCGATCAAGATTCAACTGTGAGTCCGGGTCCCGAAAGTCATTTCCCGGAAACACGCAGAACGCCTGAAAACATGGCCTTACTTTCAAAACCAATCTGTACGAAGTACCACGACGTCACAAACTGTCAACACCAAACCAGGTTTGCGAGGCCATGTCACGGCTGGCGATTGTTGGTCGATCCATCTAGCCAGCAAACATCCGTGGAGCCGACTGCCACCTTTGTCACCGAAACCGGCTGGCACTATGACACTTGTGTTCTTGGATCGCTGTGCTTCCGGCTTGACTGCCTGTGCATCTTCTGCATGTCAAAGGCTCGCACCGCCGTGCAAACACCTATTGCATGACTTGGCGAAATTGACGACAACTGCAACAAAACTCACATTGCAATGCCACGCGATTATTGACAAGTAAGCAAGGATCGGGAACATGCTTGGAAAGCACTTAAAGTCAACAGTCCCTGTCCTTGCGTCTTCCAATAGCTCGCTGCCATCGTGAGAAAACGCGCATGTGCTCAAGATCGCATGCGATAAACCCTCTTGCTAAACCGAGTGCGTCGAACCTACAACAATGATGTCATTTTCAATATCTATGTAGCTGACATGGAGGTCTGACTCACACAAAACCACCAGTCGCATTCAAAAGAGAACATGGTTTTGGATTGCGAACAAGCCGACATTAATCACCATGACAAACAGTGCGTTTGAACCCTGCAGAGACCGAGAATCGGCTACATGGAAATGCTCGAGTGCTTTCAACCAATGATTTCTCAGCTCACAATCGTGTTGGCTCGACTTTTGTGGAAGTTGCTGAAACCCTAAACCTAGATCCCCAACATCACATGCTAGTCAAAGCAAATAAAGTGGCCTCGATGATGCACGGCTTCACTAATGAGAAGCCGCGGAGCTAACACTCTTGCGCAAGTTGAATCTGGTGCAGCTTTGCGGGCAACAAAAACAGAAAACAAACAAGCTTAAAAAGGTGGATTGCCAAACCTAAACGCAAAACTCTGAACCAGCCACATTGACGGCATGTCCAAAGATTTTTTTGTTTGGGTCAAAGCGGTCAAGTCTTGAAAGAGCTCTCGATTGGAGAAGACAAAAAGCGGAGTCCAGACGTGTCCAGCCGAGCCATTGCGGCGTGGATGGACGCGACGGCGCAAACGTTTTTGCCATTTCTAAAACAACAGTTCGCAACGAATGCAAACCCAAATCTACGGTCTCGCAGTTTACCATTTATTCCCGAAAGCTTTGCGGAGGGTTTTTCCGTGCGGAGCCCTCGAGAAATACATGGGATAACTTACATAGATCAGTTATACATCGAGACTTATACATCGAGACTTTTAGATTACGTTGAGTTAAGTTAAGTAAGTTAGGTTAAGTTAAGTTA